TACAATTACAGTTGGTTTATTGGTTGAGATTGGAGTCTCAATTTTTTTTTTTTTCCTGAACAGATTTTGAACTGCAGTCCTCCCAATCTCAGCCTTTCCAGTAGCTGAGATTATAAACAGTGCCACCATGTTTGGCCCAAGATCCAATTGTTGGGGCTGGGAATGTGTCTTAGTGGTAGAGTACTTTTCTAGCATGCCCTGGGTTCAATTCCTCAGTACCACCTAAACAAGAAAAGCCAGAAGTGGTGATGTGGCTCCAGTGGTGCTAGCCTTGAGCAAAAAGAAGCTCAGGGACTGCCCAGACCTTGAGTTCAAGCCCCAGGACTGCAAAAAAACTTTGGATTCTTTTTTCTTTTTGACTATACTGGAATTTGAATTCAGTCTTGGCATTTGCTGGTCAAACTTTCTACTCTGTGGGCCATGCTTCTAGCTCCTATATATATATATCTATATATATAGTGTGTGTGTGTGTGTGTGTTTACCTTTGACTTTTAGTTGGATAAATCTATGGACATACTGAGTTAACTGTACTTTGGTCATAATTGAAGACTTTTACATTACATTGAAATGTTCAGAAATTTCAGTTAATAGTACTTCTTTTTCTCCTTTATCTCAGGCCAAAGTAAATGAAGCAGTAGAGTGTTTACTCCTCCTGAAAGCTGAATATAAAGAAAAAACTGGGAAGGAATACATACCTGGTCAGTCCCCATCGTCCCAAAGTTCAGATTCGGGTTCTGTCAAAAATACTGGTACTGCTGGTCCAGAAACATCAGAAGCAAAAGCATTTTTTGACAAAGTAGCTTGTCAGGGAGAAATAGTTCGAAAGCTTAAAGCTGAAAAAGCCTCTAAGGTGAGTGTTGTGTTTGCTTTGTGCACTTTTGTTTTTCCCATTTCATGCTGTTTTCTTTGCCTAGAACACTTTGTTTCCATCTAATTGTATTTAAGTTCTGACTGTTCTTATCTTCCCTCTTAGAGAAACCCCTTTCCCCACTGGAGATAGCTGAATATTTTCATGTCATTGCTTTTCCTGCCAAAGTATGTAAAGAGTCTGTTTTTTTGTTTTTGTTTTTGTTGGTCATGGGGCTCGAACTCAGTACCCTGTGACCTGTCCTTGCTTGAGCTTTTTCACTCAAGTCTAGCACTCTTCCACTTTGAACTTCCAATTTTCTGGTGGTTAATTGGAGATAAGAGGCCAGACTTTCCTGTCTGGCCTGGCTTCAAACCTTGATCCTCAGATCTCAGCCTCTCTAGTAGCTAGGATTACAGGTATGAGCCACCAGCATCCAGTATACAAGCCTCCTTGTCAGTCTCAGAATAGGGTTTTTTTTTTGTTTTTTTGTTTTTTAGCTCTGGTCTAGTTTCTGCTAATTCTGTTTTTGTTTTGTCAGTAATGAGATTTGAACACTGGGCTTACGCACTGTCCTTGAGCTCTTTTGCTCAAGGCTAGTGCTCTACTACTTTGAGCTACAACGCCACTTCTGGTTTTCTGCTAGCTAAAGAGTCTCACAGACTTCCCTGCCCAGGCTTGTTTGGAACCATGAAATTTAGATCTTAGCCTCCTGAGTAGCTAGGATTACAGGCATCTGTCTATTTCTTTATAATAAAGTATTGGATATTTTTGGCAGAGAGGAGAGGATGGAGTGGCATTGAGAAAAGGTCTCATGATATGACTCAAGTTGTCTTCAAACTTGCATATAGCCTATGCTTACTAAACTCATGATCCTTTTCCTCAGACCAGGCTGAGTAGAATGTGTGTGTGTATGTGTACAGATTCACATGCATGCAAGACAGTAAGTTGCAGAGGCTTTACAGTTTAATCATAATATAGATACTTGACCGTTGCCTTCTTTATAACTGTAATATGTTCAATTTAATGGATTTTACCTTCAAACCCTATGAAATACATACTGTAAATTGTAGATTTTGATGGAAATATTCTATTCTATACCAAGACTATCCAGTAGGCAGTAGGCATTGGCCATGTGTGCTATTACCATTTGAAATGGCACTATTGCAACTGAGATCCTAAATTTTAACTTTATTGATTCAAACAGCCCATGTAACAACTGATTACTGTTTGGACAGTGTTGTTATAGACTGTTGTTTCCCAGTACCCTTGTATAATTCTGCCTCTGTTTTATCATACTTTGAACTTTATTTTCAGTAATTAGTATGTTTTTGTTTTTATTTTTATTTTTGTTTTTTGCCAGTCCTGGGCTTGAACTCAAGGGTCTGGGCACTGTCCCTGAGCTTCTTTTTGCTCAAGGCTAGCACTCTACCTGATGAACCACAGCACCACTTCTGGGTTTTTCTGTTTATGTGGTACTGAGGAATTGAACCCAGGTCTTCATGCATGCTCGGCAAGCACCCTCACCACATTCCCAGCCCAACTAGTGTGTGTTAACATTTACCACCTCTGCCTCATACTTCTTCACACCCCACTTCTGACAGTGTTCACAAAGCTTCGAATACTATATTTGTGTATTATGTTAAGATAGTTATTTGAATTGATTAAGTACAGTCTTATACTCCATAGGATCAAGTAGATGCTGCTGTGCAAGAACTCCTTCAGCTGAAGGCACAGTACAAGTCTTTGACAGGAGTGGAGTATAAGCCCGTGTCAGCCACTGGAGCTGAGGACAAAGAAAAGAAGAAGAAAGAAAAAGAAAATACATCTGAAAAGCAGAGTAAACCTCAGAAACAAAATGATGGTCAAAGGAAAGACCCTCCTAAGAACCAGGGGAGTGGGCTGTCGTCAAGTGGAGCAGGCGAAGGGCAAGGGCCAAAGAAACAAACCAGGTAAGAAATGGCAACTTCTCTTGAAGGAAAGCAGAATTTTGAATGTAATCAATTGTTACCTTTTTTTTTTTAATTGTTAAATTTTTGGTTAACTTGACCATTAGGTTATGTCAGAGAATCTTAACTCTGTAATGTCAGCAGATAACTTAATTTTAAGTTTCAGTTTTCTTCACTTTTAAAACAAGTGACACATGAATTTCTTGGGCTAAGCATCTCGGAACATAAGGAATTCCCATGCTTGTTTCCCATCATTCCACTTTCCTCTGCAACGAAGATGAATTGCTGGTCGATGTTACAGGATGAACACCCTTAACCTGAAAATTTGATTAGGAGTGCTCAGTTGGTGTTGTTTATGCAAATACCCCAGAATTCCAAGAACTCCAATCTAAGACTTGGTCTTAGTCCTAAAATGTAAGGGATTTTCAGCTTGTACTAATTTCTTCTGTATCTGTTGAGTAATTGCAAATATTTATAAATATTTTTATTGCCCTTTTTTAGAAAATTAGCTTATGTTAGTTATACAGAGGGACTTCTATTGTTTTGTTTTGTTTTGTTTTTGGGTCCGGTCGTGGGGCCTGAACTCTGGGCCTGGGCCCTCTCCCTCAGCTCTTCAGCTCAAGGCTAGCGCTCTACCACTTGAGCCACAGCGCCACTTCTGGCTTTTTTCTTTTTGCTTATATGGTGCTGAGGAATCGAACCCAGGGCCTCATGCTTGCAAGGCAAGTGCTCTACCACTGAGCCACCTTCCCAGCCCAAGAGATTTTTCTTTTCTTTTCTTCTTTTTTTTTTTCCCTCAAGTCCAGTGCTTCACCACATTAGCCACAGCTTCACAAATGGCTTTTTGTGGTTAATTGAAGGTAAGAGTCTCATAGACTTTCCTGCCTGGGAACCAAGATCCTCAGATATTAGCAGCCTTGGTAGCTGTTATTTACATCGACTTGAGCCACCAGCACCTGACTTACTCTCAGTTTTGAATTATAATTGTAAGATCATTTTTGCTTACCACTAAAATTTTTATTAAAGTCTTACATACAAGTTGTTTGCTTTGAACCTCCACAAATCTTTTGATGTCATTTGCATCACTATTTATTGAAAATTTTGTATAGTAGCATATATTAAATTAGCATACTTATCTGTATGCTTGTGTACTTAATAGTTGCTAAATTGCTAATAATATCTAATACAGGGTAAGTACTATGTAATAGTCATACTATATAGAGGAATAATGACATGAAAAACATATCTGTACATGTTCAGTACAGATGTAATTCCCCCCCCCCAAATACATCTTGGAATTTAGTAAGTATGCTTTATTCAAATGGGTATTTGAAAAGTTTTTCAAATAAATGATTAGTTTGGGTTGTTTGTTTTGTTTTTTGTATGATATAAAGTTGCCTATGGGGGAGGTCCTTCAACTCAGGACTTTCCATTGTTAGGCAAACATTGTACCACTTGACCCAAACTCTCAGCTCTTTGTGTTTTAGCTTTAGTTTTGTTTGTTTGTTTTTGGAGAGAGTGTTATATTTTTGCTTAGGGTTGCCTCCTACATTGCTGTTGTTTCAGCTGTGTACAATTACAGTTGGTTTATTGGTTGAGATTGGAGTCTCAATTTTTTTTTTTTTCCTGAACAGATTTTGAACTGCAGTCCTCCCAATCTCAGCCTTTCCAGTAGCTGAGATTATAAACAGTGCCACCATGTTTGGCCCAAGATCCAATTGTTGGGGCTGGGAATGTGTCTTAGTGGTAGAGTACTTTTCTAGCATGCCCTGGGTTCAATTCCTCAGTACCACCTAAACAAGAAAAGCCAGAAGTGGTGATGTGGCTCCAGTGGTGCTAGCCTTGAGCAAAAAGAAGCTCAGGGACTGCCCAGACCTTGAGTTCAAGCCCCAGGACTGCAAAAAAACTTTGGATTCTTTTTTCTTTTTGACTATACTGGAATTTGAATTCAGTCTTGGCATTTGCTGGTCAAACTTTCTACTCTGTGGGCCATGCTTCTAGCTCCTATATATATATATCTATATATATAGTGTGTGTGTGTGTGTGTGTTTACCTTTGACTTTTAGTTGGATAAATCTATGGACATACTGAGTTAACTGTACTTTGGTCATAATTGAAGACTTTTACATTACATTGAAATGTTCAGAAATTTCAGTTAATAGTACTTCTTTTTCTCCTTTATCTCAGGCCAAAGTAAATGAAGCAGTAGAGTGTTTACTCCTCCTGAAAGCTGAATATAAAGAAAAAACTGGGAAGGAATACATACCTGGTCAGTCCCCATCGTCCCAAAGTTCAGATTCGGGTTCTGTCAAAAATACTGGTACTGCTGGTCCAGAAACATCAGAAGCAAAAGCATTTTTTGACAAAGTAGCTTGTCAGGGAGAAATAGTTCGAAAGCTTAAAGCTGAAAAAGCCTCTAAGGTGAGTGTTGTGTTTGCTTTGTGCACTTTTGTTTTTCCCATTTCATGCTGTTTTCTTTGCCTAGAACACTTTGTTTCCATCTAATTGTATTTAAGTTCTGACTGTTCTTATCTTCCCTCTTAGAGAAACCCCTTTCCCCACTGGAGATAGCTGAATATTTTCATGTCATTGCTTTTCCTGCCAAAGTATGTAAAGAG